CCAAGCTATCTCCCCAGCCCCTCTGTACATCTTACTGGAAGGGAAAAATGGATTTTGAGATAGGCAAGGGTCAGTCTTGCTAACCTCAGTTGGTATAGGTGAGCATTTTTATTATTTTATAATATTTTGTATTACTAGTGATATTTTTCTCTTCCAATTTCATGTATAATTTAGAGTACTTACTAAAACATAAGAGCTTTTAAATTCCCAAAGTGAATAGACCTTTTTCTCTGGTTGATAACTTGTATTCTTTAATTATTTAGCAAATAGCACATCAGATTTTCCAATGGAGAAGCTGTTTTCAATCTAAGGCTGAGCTGCAGTCTAGGACTTGGTGCTTTGTCCACCTTGACTCTTTGCTTCGAATTCCTCAGAACTTATTTCTGGAGAGAAAAATTAGGAGACATCTTTACTAGAGCAGAAATGCTTAATATGGCCAAGCCAGGCGTGTCATGTATATATGACCCCAGGGAATGTGTCCTGAGCCATGGCATAGCACTTGGCACTTCTGGGTACTCAACCAACCTCAACACTGTCTTATTTATCCCCGGAAACTATATTTTCCATGAAAGCATCATAAAAAATGCCCCATTCTATATGCGTCCTGGGGACACAGAGGTCAATTAAGTGAAAGGCACGTCACTCATGTGCTTCTTGGGTGTGATGTGGCACGTAGGCATGCTGGCCCACCCCGCCAGCTGTAGATGGGGAGCTGCTGAGCCGCCTGACATGCGCCCAGGCCGCTGTATCACACGCCTGCTTTTCACTGCTGGGCACAACACCGTCCCTGGAATGCTGCCATCGCCCTGTTCTTGCACCTTGCACCTTCCTGATGGCTCCTCCCAGCGTCTGCAGTGTGCGAAGAGCCACACTAGGTCTTTATAAAAATGGAAGGGCAGCAGAAGAAGGAAGTTTCTCATTTAGCAAATAGCACAAAAGAGGGGAAAACAGAAGACTAGAACGGAACACTAAAGAATCAAAGATGAGAGTTAAAAATTGACTCTGAATTCCTGTGGCCCGACTTCCTTTTTGGTAGGAGAGAAAATGGAGACTCACCGTGTGTCACTGTCACTTCACAATTTCCTGATTTTGTCTGGACTTGAACACTGAACCTCTGAGTCCAAGTCCAGTGTTGATTTTGCTACAGTTGTCCCATCAGGCACAATGAGTAATGGGTTACACTATAAGCCACTGCCCGAACGCATTGTCCAGATGGGGCAACTACTGGTTGCCCTCCCTCTTCTTCAGTGGGTGTGTGCTTCCTCCAGAAGTTGCCCAAGATACTTATCTGTAAGTGGTTGGACTCTGTAAACCCCTCCCCTCCCATCTAATTTGGGTATTTCCCAGGCACCAGCTACTGTGTCAGAGCTTGCTAATGCTTCGTCATTGCAGCAGGGGTTTTGCCAGCAACACAGGGGCTACATAATTACCCTCGGGGGTACAGGTGTAGACAGTTGCGGTTCCCTTTGGAGCAAGATGCTGAGTATCATGCACCTCTTGGGCAGTCCCTTGTGTTGTTAAGAGAGGCTTTATAAAACATTCACAGAGACAAAAACCACCTGCCAAGTCTCCTCAACTATAGGCAAGTTTTGCATCTTGAGAGGAAGGTAGAAAGAGCTGAAGATCTTTCTCAGCTGCTTCTGGGGCTGCCATGGTCATACTTGGCCACCCTGAGTAGCATGTGCACGTCTGTAAATCTGGCCCTGGTCGGTTTGCCTGCTCTACTAGACATTTTTAGTCTTCCCTAACTCTTATAAGACCCTTTCCCAGATTTTAATAAACCTCTAATGTGTCCCCAGTGCATGTCCCAGAAACTCCACAACACTGGGTAAAACATGATGGAAGAAAAATAAGTTCCAGCTGTCAGTAGCTCATGTATGCTAATTGGGAAAGTTATGGGTGCTCTCAAAATAAAAGCAAGTTTATAGACACTTTTTATAGTATAGATGTTATATTGTTAGGGAATTAAAACGTATGTCATAGGCAGCTATCATCCACCTTT